CTACAGGGCATGTGCACTTGCCAGAAAGACAGAAAGACAGAGAGACAGAAAGCAAGAAATCACCTCCCGGGGGGATGGCCATGCTGCAATCCCTTCTCCTCCATTCTCCTCTCAGGATCTTGGGCAAGCATGCACATGTGCCTGGTGTAAGTTTAAGCCATTGGGTCCGGGACGCAAACCATGGTCGACTACATGGGAGTCCAGCGACATAGCCATTACACCAACTGCTGGTCCCTAAAAAATGTTTTTCCTCCATCCATTCTATCAAAAATGTATAAAATTTGTAGTTTGTTTTTTAAGATTTTTTTTTTTTGGTCATAGGGCATGTGAACTCACTGAAGAAAGAGAGACAGAGATAGAGCGAGGGAAAATGAGAGATCATCCCTCAGGGGGGAAGACCTGACACAGTCCCTTCTCCTCCAGACCCTTGGAATTCAGGGCATGCACACACATGAGCCTGGCATGATTTTGAAGCCTCTAGGTCCCAAACTTGAATCACGGCTGGCCATGTGGGAGTCCAGTGCCTTAATCACCATGCCACTTGCAGGCCCCTAAAATTTGTTTTTTATATAAACACACTGGCACAATTACGAGGGGCTCAAGCTGCCTGCTGCTAGCATACCGCAGAAGCAAGACAGCCTAATGCTATCTAAAGATGCATCTCAGCACCGCTGGTCTGGCCCATGGTCTAGTGGTTAAGGGAGCCGCATCCCACATGGCCTACTGCAGCTTCAGTCCTGAGCCTGGTGGCTTGAAAAACACGCTGAGCACATGTGAATGTGTGCCCCAAGTCCCGATGGCATGAGGAAATGGAGAAGGGATTGCAGCATGACCTCTTGCCAAGGGAGGAGCGGTCTGTCTCTCTCTCTGTCTCTCTGGCCAGCAGTTAACAATAGCAAAAAGATTTAACTCACCGGTATTTACTTCTTGAAGATGGGAGTTGGATCTAACACTTTCCCGGTCATAACTCGCACACTCTGTTGGACGAGACGACGCGAGAGGTATGTGTTTTGCAGCTAGGTCACTTGATGAGCCCCAGAACAGAGCTCTGGCCATCAGACCCACAACCGTGGCCTTTTATGGTAGGAGCAGTCAGCTGGCAGCTGCTTGCTGACCATCCTTCAAGCTAAGATCGTCATTACCAGGTCGCATGGTAGATAATGTGGGAAGGGCCAGACGTTTGCTGAAAAGAGAACTTGAGAAGATTTAAAGTTTCTTTTGAAAAGAATTAAATAAAAGAGACAAGGAAGGAAAAACAAAAGGCAAAAGCCATGAGTGCCCCCCCTGAGCTGAAAGGAGGCCAGCCGAGCGGCGGTCACCAGAACTGGGTATCTTGCAGTTTTTGTACCCAGCGGACCTTCTCCCCTTCAGCAGACCTGGAGAACACGTCTCACTCTGCATGAGGGCTGCACGTTTGCGAGCTGCCTGAGGCGCCACACCTATGCAACAGGCAAGAGGGCGGATGATCGAGAGAGCCAGCCTATTCAACCTGGCTCGTGGAAACTCTGGAAGGGCCTGGTCTATGAAGGTTTGTTTAACCCAAGAGGCCTCTAGACCACGGGTGTAAATCCCCGCTTTGCAATGCGCAGCTCCATTGGGCAAGTCCACCTCCCTGCCTCAGTTTATTCGTGAAGAATGGTATCGGGCCAGCAGGTGGTGTAGTGGTCTGGACTCCCACTTGCCTGACCGTGGTTCGAATCCCAGACCTGTTGGCTTGAGAGTCACGTCAGGCGCGTGTGCGTGCATGCTCAAAATCCTGAGAGGAGAATGGTAAAGGGGCTGGGGCACTGCCATTCCTCCTGGGGGTAGTTTCTCATTTTCCTCTCTCTGTCTCTCTCCGGCCAGCACACACGGCCTATGGAAAAACAAAACAAAACAAACAAAAACACTTTCGAAAAAAGTACTAAAACGAAACAAGAACAGTATCTGCCTCGTGGGGCTGTTGTGACAAATAAGTTAATACTGTCTGCATTTAGAGGACTGCCGAGTGTGTGGTTAGGTATGGCTGGCTACATTATTTACCTGAACTACCGGTGCCAGCCCCTCGTATAATCTTTCTCATCTATTTTAATGTCTTTTTTAGTTTGCAAGTGCATTTATCTGTTTGCTTCATGAGCAAAAGAAACAGAGGCAGACACAGACCTGTAACAGGGTCCCACCACCACGGTCCACTCGGGTCCCAGCCGCTCCCAGACTGTGATCACTCGCGTGCCTACTGCACTCAGGGAGGTCTCCAGATGCAAACCTGGGCCCTTCACGTGCGGTCGGCCTTGCAGAGCACCGCACTCAGCTAGTGCGCAGCTACCAAGCCCCGTACTGCACTTATTTGTTTTTTGAGAGACATTTTTGCTATAGGGTGCATGAACTTGCCAGAGAGACAGAGACAGACAGGAAGCGAGAAATCACCCCCAGGGGGATGGCCATGCTGGAATCCCTCCTCCATTCTCTCAGGATTTGGGGCATGCATGTACATGCACCTGGCTTAAATTTTAAGCTGCCGGGTTTGGGACTTGAACTGCGATCACCTATGTGGGAGTCCAGCAACATAACCAGTATGCCATCTGCTGGTCTCTCAAGCCTCATATTTTAATGCTTTTTTTTTCCAGTTGGCAGAGGGTACATGTGCTCGCTAGGGAGAGTAAGAAACGGAAAGGCAGAAAGCCTGCCCCCTCGATGGGGTGTGGTCACGGCATAAGCTCATCTTTCCCATTTCTCCATCCTGGTGGGATGCTGGGCACATAAGCACACAGGCCCAGTGGGATTTTCAAGCCGCCAGGGTCAGGATTGGACCCACAGTCGGCCATGTGGAATCCAGCTCCCTTAACCAGCAGGCTATGGGGCCAGCTCCCTATTTCAATGTCTTGACCTTTGTCTTCGATGTTGACCCAGTGGGACGGTGTTTCTATATACATTCCAGGAAAGTGAATTATCTGGGTCTCAATCTTCTCTTTATTTGCATGTGGTTACAATTTATAAATACACTTGCCATTTCTTTCCCTTTCCAACTTATCTAACAACCCACCCAAACTCCCAGTTTTTATCGACTCCCTTTCCTCTAGGCGAGAAGAGGGATGGTCCTCCTTATTAGTTCGTCTTCACATAGGGTCTGCCTCGGTCCACATGAAACGTGGACCCTCAAAACGTCTCTGGAGCTTGGGTATGAGCGCCACGTTCCTTGGGTGGTCCCGGTGATGTCCTCGTGAGTGACTGCATGGGTGGCTCCGGGCCATGCTCAGGGTGCAGAGGGCCACGGGGCAGCAGGTGGCATCGTATAGCCCGTCAGCGCCTAGCTGAGCCGGTGCAGCCCAGCGGGCAGTGGGTCTGCAGCGAGTTCTCGGGCTTGCTCAGGCCGTGGAGAGTCCCATGGAGGGCACCGACCCAGCCAGTGCCCGCCCTGCTCTCAGGCCCTACGCAGGCCCTGAGTCCTGTGTGAGTAGGGCAGCCCTGGGGGCAAGGCGCTCTCGTGCCTCCCCTCTTACTGCTCCCAGGTCCTGTCAGGCATAGGGGACGAGCCAGCTCCTTGGGTCCCTGTTAGAGGGCCTGGTGCCCCAGTGCCTCTGTCTCGGCCAGGTGCCAAGCTTTGCCATCTTCTTGAAGAGGTGTAGACAGCCCCAAAGGGACAGGGTCACCCTCTTCAGGGATGGGGTATGGAGGGTCTGGGGGAGGAGAGGGGTCTCCAGGGCTCTGCGCTCCCCCCAGAACTGGCCCGTTGTAGATGTAGATGTTGCCGGTGACAGTCATAGACCCGCCAGTGACATGGATGCCATTGGTACCTGTGGGGAGGGGGAAAGTGAAAGGGGCTGAGGCAGGCCTGTTGAGGACAAAGGGCTCAGTGGGCCCCTGGCTGCCCAGACTCCCCCAGACTGCTTCAGCCAGTCCCCCGCCTCGCCTTTGCCGCTGGCTCCTCAAGCCCTGTGTTCGTGTCTTTCTGGGTTTCAAGTCTCATCCCTCCTCTCTAGCGGTGGCGCTGGCTGGCTATCAGGGGGTCTGTTCTGCCTGTTGTAGTCTCTGGCCCACGCTGTCCCCTACAGCTGTCCCTTTCCTCCCCTTCCCCACCCTGCCCGCAGGCTCACCGTGGGCCACCTGGCCCTGGTCCTTGGGCTCAGCCTCCGGGCCCCTCCTCTGCTGTTGCAGTTCCTCCTTTTCCAAAGCTGGTGGTGCCAGGAACCGGGCAGAGACTGGGGACAAGTCCCCAGAGCTGGGCAGGAGTGGCTTTACCAGGTCAGGAAAAGGCTGGTTGGTCCTGGGAGCAGTGACATTTGAATCCTCTCCCTGCAGGAGAGAGTCGGAGACCTGGCCAATGACAAGGAGCCTCAGACGCCCTCTTTCCATAGCTCCTACAGCCCCTCCCTGCCCGCATCAGCACCTGCCTCAGGGCCTTTGCACATGCCAGTCCCTCTTCGCCCAGAGCTTCCTCCTGACAGCCCTGTGGCTGGCTCCCTCGCCCCGTCAGCTTGCTGCTCAAATACCAGTTTCTTCAAGAGGTCTTCCCCGTCCACTTGTCTGAAACAATGCACCCACTTTTTTGTCACTGCCACTCACTGTCTCCCACCCTTCGTCCTGCAGCTCCCACGCCCTGCTGTATTTGCTGAGCTCTGTCCCTGCTCCACCGGCCAGGGCACTGCCGGAAGGCCTGCAGAGCTTTGCTCGCTGCTGTACGCCAGTGCTTGGCACCCTGCCTGGCACATGGAGGCTCCGTCACTCACTCACTGAATGAACGAATGGATGCCAAGGGCATGTGCTCTTTCCCAGTCTGCCTCCTCCCTGTCCCCTCTGCCACTCCTGGCTGTCCCCTCCTGTCTGCCCTCTCCCTGTCCCCTCTGCTGTTCCTGGCTGTCCCCTCCTGTCTCTCCCCCTCCCTGTCTCCTTGGCCCCTCCTGGCTGTCTTCTCAGCCTTTCCCATTACCTCTGGATGCCTCTTGAGCAGGGATCCTGCAATGAAAGGTAAAAGGGGTGTGGGGTCTCTGGCAAAGCTCAGACCCCAGCCTCTCACCCTCCACACCCCACTGTGACAGGTTGCTGCCCCACCCTGGGGTCCCAGGAGGAACAGGCTCTGTGACCCTGTCTCCAGTCTCTGAATGAGGCTGAGGATAAGGACGTCTGAGGGTGGTGCGGGGCAGGAGGGTTTGCACCGAGGAGGTTGAGATCCCGGTCCCCACCCACCGCCAGCCCATCCACCTGGGGTCTGAGGGCCTGGCCTGTCTGCACCCGGCCCCTTCTTACTCAGCTTTCTGCAGAGGGAGGGGTGGCTCTTCCATGAGCAGGCGAGGACGATGGTAAGGAGCAGAAAGAAGGTCAGTGGCAGCAGGATGGCCAGCAGCATGGTCCCTGCCAGGACAGCAGACAGGAGGGGGTGATGACCCAACCGGGGCAGGGGGCCAGGAGCTGCTGGTTCTCTGGCAACCCAGCAGAGAAAAGGGGGAGCCACTTTTTTGCTTCTAGCCACGCTGTGGCCCCTAAAGGCAGTTAGAGAAATGGCCCTTGGGTTACGGAAGGGAGAACATAGCCGGATTTGGGGAGGACCCCCTGACAGCCAGGAGAGACTCTACCATGGATGGGGATGGGACGCAGGTGGCGAGACCAGGACTGGAACAGTCCAGCAGGGAGGGATGGGAGCTTGGACAGTTGGTTTGCAAGGGCTCCAAGTGGAAGTGGGAGGAGTAGGGAAGGGTGGGGCTTGGGGTTGTAAACAGACTCAGGCCACGGAGTGGAGCCACGTTTCTGTGGACTTGGGCGCCTCTAGAGGGGGACTGCAGAGCAGCGGGACTGCCCCCTACACCTGTGGGATGTTTGCAGGGCAGAGCAGGAGGGGGACTCGTTTCTCAATTCTACCTAAGGTTACCTGGGAGGCGGGACTCTACCATGGGTTCAGATCCCCTCGCTGACCTGGAAACATGCCAGGCCAGCGCCCGGGATCCTGAGCATGGGAGGGATGGGAAGGGGACTGCAGGGACTGTGAGGTGATGAGACCCTGCTGAGGATGCCTCTCACGTGTGCACATGCATACACACACTATCACAGAAAAAGAAAATTAAAAAATAAAAGGTAGCAAGAGGGGCCAGGTGGTGGTAACACAGCGCTGTGATGCTGCATCCACACCAGAAGGTCTGGGTTCATGTCCTAAGGCCTCCCTGCACGCTGGGTATGTGTGCCTGTGGTCTGGGCTGCTGGGGCGGGGGTGCGTCGCAGCATGGATACTTTTTTCACGGGTGCCCCTCTCTCTCTCTTATGGAAGAAAAACAAGTAAGACTTAAAAATAAAACAGAGAAGAAGAAGACAATCCATGCTGGGTACATATCTTGATTAAGAAGGAAGAAATTAGGGACCAGCAGGTGGCATGGTGGTTAAGGCGCTGGACACTCCCACATGACTGACCACAGTTTGAGTCCTGGACCTGGTGGCTTGCTTTCTCACTTTCCCCTCTCTCTCTCTGGTCAAATTAAAATAAATGAATGAATAAATAAAATTAAATAACTATAAAAAATTTAAAGAAGAAAAAAATTAGTTAGAGGACTTGGAAAAATAATTTTGATATATTGTTGAATAAAAAAATCAGGTTACGGTACCAACAGTTGGCGTAATGGCTATGTTGCTGGACTCCCATGTAGTCAACTGCGGTTGGAGTCCTGGACCCGATGGCTTAAACTCACACCAGGCACATGTGCATGTGTGCCCAAGATCCCAAGAGGAGAATGGAGAAGGGACTGCAACACAGCCATTCCCCTTGGGGGTTGATTTCTCGCTTTCTGTCTCTCTGTCTTTCTGGCAAGCGCACACGCCCTATAGCAAAAACCTCTCCAATAAAAAAGAAAAGGATTTAGTGAGCTGGCGAACAGAAAGTGTTTAGAGGGCCTGATACCTGATACACTAACTCTCAATAAACAGAAGCTCTCCTTAAAAATGTTTGGTGATGTGCAAGGCGAATGAAGCGTCTATCAAGTGGTAACAATCAGTCAGTAGAGACATCCTGCAGCCATGTGCCAGAGTAGGAAGCCAGGCAGGCACCTGTCAAACCAAGAGTCAAATGGGGGCCCGTCTCTCCAGCAATGAAAGCGTGCAAACGAATCGAGAAATATTCAGCCTAGGTGACACTATGGCAGCATGACCAGAATCATGACGGTATTGGTTACAACTGCCTGTTGGTATGGGAGTGCTCCCCAGCATAACAGTGTACATAACTTAAAAAGCATGTAGGGGGTCGGATGGTGGTGCATTACTAAAACACTGCTCTGCAAGGCAGGTCCACGTGGGAAGGTTTCGGTTCGAGTCTGGAGACCTCCCTGAGTACGCCAGGCACGTGCCTGCCCACGATCTGAGGGGCTGGAGGCTGGAGGCGGGTTCTGGTGTCAAAACCCTGCTGCACGAGCTCTCTCTCTCTGTCTCTCACCCATGGAGTAAATAAACAAACTCAAAGTGGCTATATAAGCAAACGAGCCTAGGCTGTCTAAGTAAACTGCAGTTTCTCTTGAATGAACTTTCTCCTTGTTCCAATTCTTAGAGAGAAGGATTTTTAGAGGGACGCGGGTTTGAGGCATGTTCCTAGACCCGCCCATGTGCCCTCAGTCCCAGCCCCTCACCTGGCATCTCGGCGGGGACTGGCTCTGATGGAGTTCTGCAGCTTGTGTCGGACTGGGTGGTGCCTGGAGTCACCTCTACCAGGCCTAGGTCTTCGCACCTTCGGAGGACAGAGAAGCGCATGACCCTGTCCCCCAGTGCCCTGACTCAAGTGAGGCAACAACAGGAGGAAGGTGTTACGGCTGGGGGGCGTCACAGAGGGTGGATGGAGCCTGGCGCGGGCACACTCACCTGGTGTGGGGCTGGCAGCGGGCGCTGGCGGATGAGGTGTTCTGAAAGTGCCCCTCCTTGCAGCGGACACACTTGTTATCCTGCCCATCGTCACCTGACAGGGAAAAGCGGGCTAGCCAGGGTGCACGGCACACGGGGAGCCTTCTGCCTCGCCGGGAGCATCCTCTGCCCCCTCTGCCACGTTCTGTGGCACCATCCCCCAACTCCGCGTTCCTGAGCCTCCCAAGCAGTGAGAACCCCTCAGGTGCCCCCAGCACCTGTTCCAGCTCCATATCTCTGCAGACCCCTTCTGTGGGCTTTTTAGGACAAAGAGAACTACTGGGAGTGGGCGTCGCCATGGACACAGTACCATGCTCCCTGTCCCGTTTACACCCTCTGCCCTCGGTGACCTCTGACCTTTGAGCTTGGCTTCAGCCTCGGTACCAGGCGGGCAGTCTGAGAGCGGCTCGCAGTGCTTGCACTCGGAGTCGCGGAGGGCGCAGAACCACCCGGGCCGGCACTGGCACTGGGTCTTCTGTTTGCTGGTGCAAGGCTCAGTCTCGGTGAAGCCCATCACTGGTGGGAGGGGACAGCTCAGGGAGGGCTGTGCTCCAGGGGACCAGCCCTGTCCGCCCACTCACCTGGGTCGCAGGGGCGGCAGAGCTGGCAGGTGGACAGGCGGTGCCAGTGCTCGTTGTAGGACTTCTCCGGGCAGGGCGTGCACAGCGTGTCCCGGCTGGGGTCGCATTCGGCTGACACGTAGGTGCCTAGACCGTGGGGGGCAGCAGATGCTCAGCAGCCCGCCCGGCCTCACTGGGGCCGCCTGCCCCGGCGT